CCACAAGTCTGTTCTATACATCGGAGTCTCTTTTTCTGTTTTGCATATAGGGTTATCGTTACCATCTTTCTAAATTCCATATATATGTGTTAGTATACTGTAATGGTCTTTATCTTTCTGGCTTACTTCGCTCTGTGGCTGCAATCACCATCTGCAGTGATTTTGGAGCCCCCCAAAATAAATTCAGCCACTGTTTCCACTGTTCCCCATCTATTTGCCATGAAGTGATGAGACCTGATACCATGATCTTAGTTTTCTGAATGTTGAGCTTTAAGCCAACTTTCTCACTCTCCTCTCTCACTTTCATCAACAGGCTCTTCAGTTCTTCACTTTCTGGTGGTGACATCTGCATATCTGAGGTTATTGGTATTTCTCCTGGTAATCTTGATTTCAGCTTGTGCTTCCTCCAGGCCAGCATTTCTCACGATGCACCCTGCATATAAGTTAAATAACCAGGGTGACAATATACAGCCTTGATGTATTCCTTATGACTACACAGTGGAAGTGAGAAATATATTTAAGGGACTAGATCTGACAGACAGAGTGCCTGAAGAACTATGGACAGAGGTTCATGACATTGTACAGGAGACAGGAATCAAGACAATCCCCAAGAGAAAGAAATGCAAAAAAAGCAAAATAGCTGTCTGAGAAGGCCTTACAAATAGCTGTGAAAAGAAGAGAAGCAAAAAGCAAAGGAGAAAAGGAAAGATTAACCCACTTGAATGTAGAGTTCCAAAGAATAGAAAGAAGCAATAAGAAAACCTTTCTCAGGGATCAATGCAAAGAAATAAAGGAAAAAAGATCTTCATGACCCAGAGAATCACAATGGTGTGATCACTCACATTCACCTAGAGCCAGACATCCTGGAATGTGAAGTCAAGTGGGCCTTAGGAAGCATCACTATGAACAAAGTTAGTGGAGGTGATGGAATTCCAGTTGAGCTATTTCAAATCCTAAAAGATGATGCTGTGAAAGTGCTGCAGTCAATATGTCAGCAAATTAGGAAAACTCAGCAGTGGCCACAGGACTGGAAAAGGTCAGTTTTCATTCTAATCCCAAAGAAAGGCAATCCCAAAGAATGCTCAAACTACCGCACAATTGCACTCATCTCACATGCTAGTAAGGTAATGCTTAAAATTCTCCAAGCCAGGCTTCAGCAATACATGAACTGTGAACTTCCAGAGGTACAAGCTGGATTTAGAAAAGGCAGAGGAACCAGAGATCAATTTGCCAACTTTCACTGGATCGTCGAAAAAGCAAGAGAGTTCCAAAAAAACATCTATTTCTGCTTTATTGACTATGCCAAAGCCTTTGACTGTGTGGATCACAAGAAACTGTGGAAAATTCTGAAGGAGATGGGAATACCAGACCACTTGACCTGTCTCTTGAGAAACCTGTATGCAGGTCAGGAAGCAAGAGTTAGAACTGGACATGGAACAACAGACTGGTTCCAGTCAGAATGGCCATCACCAAAAAACCTAAAAACAAATGGTGGAGAGAATTTGGAGAAAAGGAAATCCTCTTGCACTATTGGTAGGAATGTAAATTGCTACAGCCACTATGGAGAACAGTATGAATATTCCTTAAAAACTAGGAATAAAACTGCCATAAGCTCAGCAATCTCACCACTGGGCATATAGCCTGAAAAAAACAATATGATTCAAAAAGACACACGTACCCCTATGTTCACTGCAGCACTATTTACAGTAGAAGTTGTGGTACATATATACAATAGAATGGAATGGAATATTACATGTCTGCCTGCTCAGATGCTTAAGTCATAACTACCTCTTTGTAACCCTATCGACTGTAGCCCTCCAGGCTTTTCAGTCCATGGATTTCTCTAGGCAAGAATACTGGATTGGGTTGCCATGCTCTCCTCCAGGAGATCATTCTGACACAGGGACTGAATCTGTGTCTCCTGTGTCTCTACATTGTAGGCAGATACTTTTCCACTGAGCCACCAGGGAAGCCCACAAGTGAAAGTTACTTAGCCATAAAAATGAACATTGGAGTGAGGTGGCTGAACCTAGAGCAGGGTGAAGTAAGTCAGAAAGAGAAAAAGAAATATCATGTACTAATGCATACATATGTAATCTAGAAGAAAGGTACTGATGAACCTGTTTACAGGACAGGAATGGGGATGCAGACATAGAAAATGTTCTTGAGGACACTGTGTGGGAAGGAAAGGGTGGATGAATTGAGAGACTAGCATTGATATATCTACACTACCATGTGTAAAACAGATAACTAGAAGTAAACTGTGGCATAACACAGGGAGCCCAGCTTCATGCTCAGTGAAGGCCTAAGGGGGTGGGATGGCGGGATAAGGAGGAGACTCACAATGGAGGAGGTATATGTATACTTGTAGCTGATTCACTTTGCAGTATGGCAGAAACCAACATAACATAGTGGCAATTGTCTTCAAATTTAAATTTTTTCTTAAATTAAAATTTTTAAAAAGACACTACGCTTTTTTGAATCTCAACTCTTTCAATGAGCTCCGTTTACTTCAGCCCTCATAATTTCCTTTTCTCCTCTTTAAAAGAATTATTTTCTCCTTGCTGTGCTGGGACTTACATGTCGCTCACCATGGTTGCAGGCCCTGAATTGCAATTCTTTGCTGATACTGAAAAGCCGGTTTTTACTGGAGAAATAACTGGAAATATATTTATTTTCGGTAATTTTTGTTGCATGCATGGGGGTCCAGAGAAGATATTCAGTGACTCTGAGCCTGGTGAGTACAGAGGTCAACATTTAGTCCATTAGTGCACACTGCTTTTCTGTCAACCCTGGGGTTTGAAGGTAAGTCTTTCTTTTGGATCTGAGCTTCTGCCTTCTTTATGTTTTGAAGTTCTCCTAGGTTTTGTTTGGGATACATTTTAAGGCTCCATGTTTTTTGTTTAAGCTTTGTTCTGTCTGCAAGTAGTTGTTTGGCACTTCAGCCTGATAGTATTTTGAAACCAGGCTGTTTCAATTGGAACTCTGCTAGCTTTCAGGCCAGTTTCTTTTGGAACAGGGGCTGTTTCACTGAAGTGGTGCCAGTGCAGGCTTTAGCTTGGTTCCTTTCAGAATAAGAGCTGTTCTATTGGAACTGCACCGTTAAGCCTTTGGCCTGACTCCCTGGAAACTGGGCTGTTCCATTATAGCTGTGCTGTCCTAATTGACACTGGATCCACTCTAAGAGCTCAACCCACTAACATAAAGCAGCCCTTACCTCAGAGTACTGCAAGTTCAAATAGTGGGATCTTTAATGGACCTCAAAAGGTTTCTGTCTCTGAACCTAGTTCCTTTTATTAAACCCTTTGAGACATGTGAATCCTTTTGTCTTTTGCTCCTCAGCCACTGTCCATTTATTAGGCAAAGACTTCTTAGGAAAGCATTATACTGGAATTTCTTATTCTTGAAAGAGGGATATAATTATAAAATTTTGTAATGCACTTGACCCTTGAACAACACTGGTCTGTACCGCCTGGGCCCACTTATATGCTGAAGTTTTCCTAAATAAGCACTGTAGCAGTGATTCTGAGTTGGTTGACTCTCTGACTGTAAAGTTTTTCTCAATTTCTTAGCAGTTCAGAAATTCACAGCCCCTAGCCACTATGTTGTTCAAGGGTCAAATCAAAGCGACCAACCAGGTGCATCAAATGACCTTCGACATCTTTTATTTTCTCTGTCCCTGAGTATAGTAGAGCTGATTCTGGAAACATTGATTATTTGGCTCTATTGATTCAGCCACCATCCTTCTTATGGACAAAATCTCCAACTGATATGACAAAATTCAGTGTACTTCTCATCAGTGTTGAAATAGATCTCTCAAAATCTCTTCCTAGAGCCAATCACTATCCCATAAGTGAGGAAGAACTTCAAGATTTAAAGCCCGTAATAGATTATAAGGCTCAAGGACTTAATATCTGCAATACTTTTATTTTAACAATGTCTGGTAAAATAGTCCTATTAAACCAGTGAGAAAACCTAAGGACTGAAGGTAGAGTTTGTTCAGGACCTCTGAGTAATAAACAACATTGTAATAACAACAATTAAAAAAAACATTGTTATCTCTCAATGCATTACTAGTGTCCACTTCTATCGGAAGTGAATTCTTTACTACAATAGATTTATATGGTGCATTCTTCAGTATTCCAGTTGAGGAAGCTAACAGATGCTTTTTTTGCCTTCACTTGGGAAGAAAAAATAATTCACTGGGACAATAATGACTCAAGATTTTACTTGGAGTTCTTATTTCTTATAAATCTTGAAGGCTGAGCTTGGTGTTAAAAAGTGCCCTATAAGTTCTAATGTGTTGCAGTATGTGGATGATTTGCTTCTTTGCTCACCTCAAGTCTCCTAACCTGAAGACAGCATCCACTTGCTAAAGCTTTTGGTCTTCAGTGGATACGATTGTCCCCAAAACTGCTGTTTTCCCAAACCCAAGTTCAATGTTTAGGGAATCTGATGTCAAAACAAGGGCTTCACCTAGGTTTAGATATACTCATGGTGTCCTATCAAACAAAGCACCAACTCTTAGTTTTTCTCAGGTGAGTTGGTTATTGCAAAAAATAGATTCCAAATTTCTCTCGTAGCTAAATTTCTGCATTTTTCACTAAATAATAACAATACCAATCCAATGTTTATGGAGAGAACTGGATGACACAGCCTATAACAACTTAAAGGAGAATTTAATGAACCCACCTGCCCTTGAGTATCCAAATTATCAGATTTCCTTTTGCCTTTCTATATATAAAAAAGTGTTTGTCCTCAGGATATTCACTCAAAACCAGAGGTCACCAATTACCTATATAAGGTGTTATAGCCAAAAAGTTACTATAGCAACTGGACTCCGGCATGGGTTTACTTGCCTTGTTAGAACCATTACTGCCACTGCCTTTTTGTTTAAAGCTATTGAGCAAATGATTGTGGGATTCACATTTACCAAATCTGAACCAAATAACAACTCAGTCCTGCCACAGACTTTAAAAATTCCCACTCTCCTGCGGTAGTGCGGCCGGCGTCTGGGCAAAGGGGACGGTGCGGGGCCTGAGACGCTCGCTCAACACGCAGAACGATGCTGGTGAGTTCGTGGACGTGTATGTGCAGCGGAAATGCTCCGCCAGCAACCGTATCATTGGAGCCAAGGACCACACGTCCATCCAGATGAACATGGCCGAGGCTGACAAGGTGACAGGCAGGTTCAACGGCCAGTTTAAAACCTACACTATCTGCGGGGCCATTCGCAGGATGAGCGAGTCAGATGACTCCATTTTCCGGCTGGCCAAGGCTGACGGCATCGTCTCAAAGAACTTCTGACTGAAGAGGATCCAGGACATGGAATATTTGTTATAAATAAATAGTGAAAACCTAAAAAAAAAAAAAAAATCCCACTCTTCCCCACTGTACATGCATTGAACTATTTGTTTCTTGACAAAATGAAGGCATTCATGAGTCAAATTGGCGGGAAAATGTTAACAAGGTTGCAAAAAGTGCCTACCTTACTTGTCCCATTTGTTAAACATACAAACCAAGGAAGTCTGTTACTACATTTACTGGACATTTTAATGGCCTAATGGACCATTTAAGTTCTGGCAGATAGATTTCATACAGTATTCTTTGTCTATATAAATATGTTTTTGGATATAAAAATCAAAGGATATTTATGTTTTTGTCATGGTCTGTATGTTCATACAGAACATGCAGAAATTTTTCTTTTGCATAGGCTACTGCCTCTTCTGTGGCTAAAGAGAAGTATCAACAACTTCAGATATGCAGGTGGTGTCACTCTGTTGGCAGAAAATGGAGAGGAGCTGAAGAGCCTACCGATGAGGGTGAAAGGGGGAAGTGAAAAAGCTGACTTGAAACTCAGCATTAAAAAAAGTAAGATCATCACATCTGGTCTCATCAATTCATGGCAAATAGAAGGGGAAAAAATGGAAGCACTGACAGATTTTATTTTCTTGGTCTCTAAAATCACTGCAGACAGTGACTGTAGCCATAAAATTAAAAGACACTTGCTCCCTGGAAGAAAATCTATAACAAACGTAGACAGCATATTAAAAAGCAAAGACATCACTTTGCTGACAAAGGTTCAGGAAGTCAAAGCTACTGTTTTTCCAGTAGTTATGTATGGATGGACTATAAAGAAGAGTTGGACCATTAAGAAATTTGAATACCAGTTGATGCTTTCAAATTGTGATGCAGGAGAAGATTCTTAAGAGTCCCTTTAGACTGCAAGGACTCAAACCCATCAACCCTAAAGGAAATCAACCCTGAACATTCATTGGAAAGACTGCTGAAGCTGAAGCTCCAACACTTTGGCCACCTGATGTGAAGAGATGTGTCATTGGAAAAGACTCTGATGCTGGGAAAGGTTGACAGCAAAAGGAGAAAGGGGCAAAAGAGGATTGGATGGTTAGATAGCATCACTGACTCAATGATCATGAATCTGAGCAAACTTTGGCAGTTAGTGGAGGACAGAGAAACTGTCATGCTGCAGTCCGTGGGGTTGCAGAGTCAGATATGACTTAACAACTAAACAACCACCTCCTTATACCTTGCACCATGAAGATCTCATATATTAAAAAAAAATTATATGTATATACAAAAGGATTCCCTTCAACCTTACTGAAAAGGCCCCTGTCTGGTACTGCTAACCAATATTTGTACCACCAGTTTCCAGGGAATAGACACTTTCTGGATTCATAGGACACTCCTAAATAGCCATACCCAACACTGACTGTACCTGCACATCAACTGGTGATCTAAAGTAAAGACTTCCCAGAATTGAAGTGGCTGACATGTTGAGACAGCTTTCCTAAGACATCTGAGCCAGGTGCATTGGAAGTTTGCCTGCCAAACCTTTGATGACGACAAAGCTTTGAGTGATCTCCAATGTCTCTAATTTAAAACATATGGAGTTTAGATAGAAAGTGCTGTGAGTTCTTCTTCCTACTCCTCTTTGTTACTCAAGTATGATCTCAATAGTTTTCAGTGTGCTTTCCCTCTGACATGGGATACTACATCCAGAAAGGTTCTTCCTGACTTTGAGGGTAAAATAAGTTGCTGAAACCAGAAAACCTGACTCTTGATCAGAGGGACTTTCAGAGAAAGATCTTGATCAAAGATGGAGGAATATAAAGATTAATAAATAGAAGTCATTAAAATAGTCAGGAGGCCAGAAAGGGGAACTCTCAGGCCATATGACAATAGCAAAGCCCAACAGGAAAGGGCTTTCTCTTCTTTCTTGGCAGACTCAATCCATGAGAGACAGTGACAACTCAGACAAACAAAATGCTCTCAATTCTTCTAATGGACTCTTTGCTTACTATAGTCCTCCCAATATCCTTTACCCACCTTTAAAAGAGTTGTCCTGTCTTTGCTGTACTGAGACTTATACATAGCTGGCCATCATTGCAGACCCCAAATTGCAATCTGCTGCTGACACCAATAAACTTATTTTTATTGGAAAACCACTACAATATTGTGAAGTAATTAGCCTCCAACTAATTTAAAAAAACAAATATATAAAAAAAAAAAGAAAAATAATCAGCAGTCTATTTGTTTTAAGTCAACATGATCTCCCAGTTAGTGGTTCTTGTTAGAGGAAATAGCATCAGGAATTCTCCTATTAAAAGCACAGGTGCTTTTTTTTAAAGCAATCTAGGAAGAAAATTATAAAGACCCTACCACTGTCTATAAAAACTATTACTCACCAATAGAAGATTGTTCATAATGAATATGTTTATTAGTACACTGCAGAATCACATCACCTGTACTTAATTAGGTTTAAAATTGCAGGCCCTTGTCATTTGTCAAATGTTTCTTTAAGAAACAATAATGCATATTTAATAATATGAAATAAGCATTTATTACTGAATTTAATGTAGAAAATATTCTTGAAATTTCCTAGGAAGTAAAAGGCTTAATACATATCTGACTGCCACCTCAGTAGTTAGTTCCTACTTAAGAGATGTGAAGATAAAGGGAAAAATCTATTTGTGATAGAAGCCAATTGAGAATGTTATCCAAACAGTGGCAACTTTCTGAAATTGTTTATTGTTGACATAAACAGATTTTAGAAGGTCTCTCATGGCTTTAAATGTGATTAATCTTCTTGAGAAGAAGTATAACTTTAAGCAAAGTAAATGGAAGCAATCTTGACCAGTGATTTGATCTTCACCCTAATCTCATCCATTTTAATCCCAAGAGTTTTATGAGATATGAGTCTAGAAAAAAGAAGTTGGATTATATTTCTCTTTTAAAACACTAGGGAATGAAAGGTAACGAACCATCAGAAAATTTGAAAAGAATTTGTGACTTCATAATTCCACATCTTGCCAAGTTATCATTTACGTGTGAAGAAAACTAAATGGAATTTTCAGATATTCAAGTTTCAAAGTATAAATAGCTGTCCTGTATTCTTTGAAAAACAAGTCTTAGAATTACTCCAGTTAAGCAAGAGACTAATAAAAATAAAGAAAACAAAAATAAGAAAGTCATGCTATAAAAGCCCAAGTCCTGAGAAATAAGAATTTACGTAAAAAATAATAACAAGCCTTGTGTGAGAGAAAATAAAAGCACTATTTTCCTCAAATTACATAGAAATAAAACTTATAATTTCTTACTTGAACTTGACAAAAATTTATTCATTTTTTTTGAAAATTTGAACAATGATAAAAATAGAATTAATAACAGAAAGATAACAAATTCAATTTATTGATATTAGGTACAAACTATAATAAAGTTTTGGGATCTTTTGAATATTTTAAATAAAACTAAATGCATATATGAAAGATGTTTATAAGAACATTTGGAGATGGGTGATTTTAATGAAAATACTCATGTTCCATGAAAAAAAATCATCCTTGTGGAAATGTTTCCTTCATAATTTTTATCTACCATATAAAAATATCAGAAAACATAAAGATTAATGGAAAAGAAAATAATAGAGGTAGAGGAAGAAACTGGGTGGCTTTTGTGCCATGTTTTTGTGGTTTAGTGGCTAAGCCATGTCCAAATCTTCTGCAACCCTATGGACTGTGGCCTGCCAGGCTTCTCTGTCCATGGAATCCTCCAGGCAAGAATACTGGAGTGGGTAGCCATTCTCTTCTCCAGGGGATTTTCTTGACTCAGAAATAAAACCAAGATCTCCTGTATTGAGGTAGGTTTTTTTACCTTCAGCCACAAGGGAAGACCACAATAACATAAAAGGCCACAACTAAACACATGAAAATACTCAAAGAAAATCTCATCAGTAAAGGCAAATATACAGTAAAAATAGTAAATCACCCATTTACAAAGGTAGTGAGAACATTAAAAGGCAAAGGTAATAAAATCATCTTTATTCACAATAAGCAGTTGAGGGATAGACAAAATAATTAGATGTAAAACATGGTGTCAGCATCAGTAACTACAAGAGGAAGAAGGTAAAAATGTAAAAATATTAAAATATGCTTGAAATTAAGAGACCACCAATTAAAAATAACCCTGTATAGGTTGATCACCTGTATAAACTTCATGATAGCCACAAATAAAAAAAAATAGTAAATATACCCACAAAATACAGAAGGAATTCAAACATGCTAATAAAGATAGACATCAAATCATAAGAGACAAAAAGAAGAAAAAGGAATAAAGAATAACCTCAAAATGAATCCAAAAGACAGCTAGCATAATGGCAATAAGTACACATATATCAAAGATTACTTTAAATATAAATGTTCTAAATGCTCCAAACAAAAGACAGAGTGGCTGAATGGACTCAAAAACAAGATCCTGGGGTTTTCTTGGTGGCTCAGTGGTAAAGAATCTGCTTACCAATGCAGGAGACATAGGTTTGATACCTGATCTGGAAGGATCCCACAAGCCATGGAACATCTAAGTCTGTGCACCACAACTATTGATCCTATGCCCTAGAGCCTGAAAGCTGCAACTACTTATCTTATGTGCCACACCTACTGAAGTCTGAGCACCCTAGAGCCTATGCTCTGCAACAAGAGACACCATTGCAATAGGATGCCCACTTGCTGCAACTAGATAGCAGCTCCCACTTGCTACAGTAAGGGAAAAGCCTGTGTTGCAATGAAGACTCAGCACAGTCAAAAATAAATAAATAAAGTTTTAAAAAGAATTCCTACAATTGAATAATAAAGTCATAGTTTATTTGATAAAAAATAGATAAACAAAAGCCATATATATACTACCTACAGGAGACTCACTTTAGATCTAAAACAATGCAGACTGAAATAGATGGGATGGAAAAAGTTATTTCATTCAAACAGAGATTTTAAAGGCCAATTTATCAATAATTATAC